GTACTTCTGGTAGAAGTCCATGCCACAAGGACATGGCCACCACCAAGAATGTCCACTTCCTCGTAGCTGCGTTTTTTTTTTTTAATTGTCCTTGGTGTGGCCACCCTGAGCAGCAAGGCCTGGGAGGACCGCTCCGGCAGGTATTGAAATCCCAAACCTTTTAAGGATTTTATATGTTAAAACCAGCACCTTAAATCTGGCCGTTATTCCCCTCTACTCAAGAGGAGTGCTTCCTTGCTTTGCTGAGGCCTGTGGTATGAATGCCAGCTCTCTTTTTTTTCAGTTTATGTAAATCAATTTGGTTTTGTTTGTTTGTTTTTTAAATTGTTGATTTATCTCCACCCTCTCCCTGGCCTTCTCGGGGAGGCGTGCCACCTTGGCCGAGGCTCTCTGAGAGGATCTTCTGCCTTGAAAGGGCTGTCATATCACAAACCGCCATCATCCCTTCACATAAAACGACGGACATGGGGTTGAGGGGTGGTGGGGATGGTGACCGGAAAGTGATTTCCTTCCGAGGCGGTTTTGGGAAGAATCAGGTGTCCCAGAATAACCTTTCTTGGCCATGTGTCAGATTACTGCCGCAAAGCTTACAAGAAGGTCCACGTGACGAAAGTGGAAGAGCGCATCACCACCATCTGCCAGCGGGAAAACTCCTTCTACGTGGACACCGTGCGCGCCTTTCGGGACCGACGCTATGAGTTTAAAGGGCTCCATAAGGTACCCTCGTTTTTCCTTTTGTCCGGCCTGCCGATGTTGCTGTTGACCATGAATTTTGATAGTCTTTGCGGTAACCGGTAAAGTCATTCAGGGTTTGAGGATCTGAATTGTGGGGAGAGCCTTCTCATGCTTAGATCCGTGGGGTAGGCCCTACGGAGAGATAAAGAAATCAGATCCACTATGGGAAGAAATATAAGCTGTTACATTCTTTTGTTATCTCTAGCTTTAGCCACAGAGATCAAAGGCCTTGGTTTACATTTTTCAAAATTTGGACGAAAGGGTTTAAAATCTCGGACTTTCTATCTCAGAGTTTTGGAGCGAGAGGGCAGATTTTTATCGTATGCATCCAGAAGGGCTTCCTTCTACGGTAGCCAGCGAAGCCCTTGAGACCAGAGGCCACCCATGGTTTGTTAGACCTCATCCTTGCCGTCTCTTTTAAAGGTGTGGAAGAAGAAGCTGGCGGCCGCCGTGGAAGTGGGCGATGCCTCGGAGGTGAAGCGCTGCAAGAACATGGAGATCCTATACGACTCCTTGCAGCTGGCACACAAGTGCATCCTTAATTCCTTCTATGGCTACGTCATGCGCAAAGGGTGAGTGGGAGAACACCAGGGACGGAGGGCCACCCATGCATCTTCAGAAGCCCTCTTGAGCAGAGGGCTTGGAGGTGTTACATGTTTCCTGTTCCTCTGCCACTTTTAAGAAAGAAAACCAATTCTTTCTTCCTCATCACTGACATTTCCTGTTCTTTTATAGCAGCCGTTCCCAACTTTGGGGAACCCAGATGTTCTCGGACTGCAACTCCCAGAAACCTTGGCCAGCACAGCAGGTGGTGAAGGCTTCTGGCAGTTGCCACCCAATAACACCCGGATGAGCCAACGTTGGGAACCTCTGATCTATAGCTCCACTTCCTTGGGTTTTTTTAATTGTCACTGACATTTCCTGTTCTTTTATAGCAGCCGTTCCCAACTTTGGGGAACCCAGATGTTCTCGGACTGCAACTCCCAGAAACCTTGGCCAGCACAGCAGGTGGTGAAGGCTTCTGGCAGTTGCCACCCAATAACACCCGGATGAGCCAACGTTGGGAACCTCTGATCTATAGCTCCACTTCCTTGGGTTTTTTTAATTGAAAATCTAATCATATGTAGCAGTATATTAATATCGGCAACCATATGCTATAAATCAGTATTATTTCTACTGGGAAGAAGCTTTGTGTTATAATAGAGACCAGAAGGAAGGCTTCTAGCAGTTCCTACCTGTGCAGGAAGATATGATATGCTATGGACAACGTTGAATTACACATGATTGCAGTCTACGTGTGTGTGTGTATTCGGTGGTTCTCGTTAATGACCACATGGGTTTTCTGTATCTCTTTTCTTCACCCCATTAAGAAGGAGTGGCAGGTAGCCGCTTACACAAGGCATATGCTTACGTTGTTCTTCAGGGCTTCTCTCGAAATCGTGACTCAAACCAACATCGCTAGTCTTCTTAACTGTTAGAGCAGTACAATAATAGAACCCGTGACCTCGGGAGGTGGTGAAGGCTCCAACGCTGGAGGCCATCAAGAGAAAACTGGACAATCCTCTGTCCGATCTGCTCTGCACGGAATGTGCTGCATTCCTGCCTTGAGCAGGGGGGTTTGGACTTGATGGTCTTCGAGGCTCCTTCCAGCTCCACGATTCTAGTCCCTACCAGAATGAGCCACATCATTCTGGGACCTACCTTTGCAGAAACTCGCAATTGCATTTAGGGTCCCGGGTTCTCACCACCTCCTAATGAACTCAATATGAAGTATCAAACCTGCCTTCTTCCATTTATCCTCTTCTGGGTTGTGTTTTTTTGCAAATACCAAAGTGCCGCAGGGTGTTATCAGAAGCTGCAGGTGGGAACACAGAACTCAACAGAAAACCGATGTGCTCAGGGCCACTGTGTAACTTCACGGCTCTGTTACAGTTTTGATCAAGAGGCTTCTAGGCTTATCCCCATAGCCGCTAGGATGCACCAGCCCACTGGGAAGATTTGGACTCGATCCGTCCTCAAGGCAGTTTAACAATATTGATGATTTTTTAAATTTTTTTTAAAAAAACCTCTTTCCAAGATGCCTGTTGGGTTTTCTTGTCTTGCTGACCTCCTTCCGTCCTTCCCCCCCCCCTCAAGAGCTCGGTGGTACTCCATGGAGATGGCTGGGATCGTCTGCTTCACGGGCGCAAACATCATCACCCAGGCCAGGGAGCTGATAGAGCAGATTGGGTGAGTGCTTGAAAAGTGTCCCGGATGAGGCTGAGGATCCGGCCAG